AGAGGGTTGGTGGTAAATGGACAGGAAGAAGGAGCATGGAAACCCAAGGTCCTGCAGAAGCGAAAATGAATGGTAAACTCAAGACAAGCACTCCGGGCACTGAGGACTCCCGGATTAAGGGCTCCGCACTTCTCTAAACCAACAGAAGAGGGCACTCTTGAACCAAGAAACCTGCCATTACCCAAATCCCCAACTCCCGCCTACCGTCCTCCGTTATCACCAGTCCAGGCAAACATAAAGGCATTTCTAAGCCAACAGACGACGACAGACAATAGCCACACAAAACCAATTTAAGGAGCTGACAGCCATTCTCCTCGCAAACCACTTCACAGGGCACCGTAGCTCGAATCGCCTTCAGAAAGCGTGCTGAGACATCTGAAGTATAAATTACAAGACTCAGAAGAGAAATGGACAAAAAAAACTAGGTAAATGTGAAATAGAGTTGCCCAAACTCAGGAAAGAAAATGAAGATGACAAAGTCATCTCAGAAATGAATACTGAACCGGAAGCTCTCTTAGGGAGGACAAATTTGACTGAGAACTCAGTGATGCTCACTGAGGAAATGAAGGACAGCTACCACACAACAAAACGGACAAAAAGACCGCAGTGAAGAGAATCACAGAGAAAGTGACAGATATAGAGGCCAGGCAAAAAAGATCCAGCATACAGACATATTATTGTAATCCCTGAAGAAGAAAAACAAAATAACTAACATTTAAAATTATTATCCAAGAAAACTTTCTGGAAATAAAAGAAGGCGTGAATCTGCATATTCAAAGGGCCCCCGTGACTCTGAGAAAATTGATACTGAAGATCAACTCCAAGACATTTCCTAGTAAAATGATTAGACTTCAAAGATAAAGAAAAAAAAAAAACCCTTTGGAGCTCCAGGGAAAATGATCAAGTCACATACAAAGGAAAGAAAAGCAGTTTCTATCAGACTTCTTGAGAACAACACGTAAGCATTATAACCCAGGACCGGCTGGTGGCGCAGTGGTTAAGTGTGCATGTTCTGCTTCTCAGTGGCCCAGGGTTCGCTGGTTTGGATCCCGTGTGCGGACATGGCACTGCTTGGCACACCATGCTGTGGCAGGTGTCCCATGTATACAGTAGAGGAAGATGGGCATGGACGTTAGCTCAGGGCTAGGCTTCCTCAGCAAAAAGAGGAGGATTGGCAGCAGATGTTAGCTCAGGGCTAATCTTTCTCAAAAAAAAAAAAAAAAAAAAAGCACTACAACCTAGAGCAACATTTTAACAAATTCAAGGAAAGAAAGTGTGAGTCAGGATTTTATAACCAGCCAAGCTACCCTGCAGGTGTCAAGGGTGCAGAACAATTTCAACACGAAAGAGACCAGGGATGCCAAACTCACAAGCCCTTCTTGAAGAACCACAGAAGCCAAGCTTCATCAAACCAAGGGATGACTGGGGAAACTAGCAAAAATAAATATTAGCAAACAGAATCTAATAGCACTGTGGCGGACACACTCTAGGGCACCGACAATCCCTGTCTCCTGGTATTCTCTGCCTTGAGTGTGGCTGGACCCTCTGACTTTCCTCTAACCAACAGACTATGGCACAGCTGAGGGGATGTCACTTCTGTGACTCTGCACATAAGACTCTGACTTGCCAGCAGATTTACTCTAGAGACTCTCTTTGCTGGCCCGATGGAGCAAGAGGCCATGCTGGGGAAGCCCACCTGGCAAGGAACTGCAGGTGGTCCCTAGGAACTGTGGGTGGCCTCCAGAAGCTGTGGGCAGACTCCAGTTAACCACCAGCAAAACACTCAAGCTCTCAGTCCTGTAACCACAAACAAATGAATGCTGCCAACAACCACATGAGTGGAAAAGTGAATCCATTCCTAGTTGAGCCTCTAGATGAGGACTCAGTCCTGGCCAACACCAGCAGGAACCCAGCTAAGCCACGCCCAGACTTCAGATCCACCGAAACTATGAGATAATAAATGTGTGTTGTTTTAAGCTACTAAGTTTATGGTAACTTGTTACGCAGCAATAGATAGCTAATACAATCACATTAAAATATATCATGCCCAAGTGGTTTCTATTTCAGGAATGCAAGGATGGCTTAATATTCACATTAATACATTTTGTGTCTTATTGTTTGCCTCACTCTCATCCTGGACCTGACATTAGGAAATCCATTAATATGATTCATCTTACTGATAGTGATAAGGAGAAATATCATATAATTATCTCCATATACGGCTTCAACAAAAATTGACACCCATTTCTGATTTTAAGAAACTACCCAATAAAACAGGAATTAATGGATACTTCCATAACTATAAATAAATAAAGTCTCTCCATCTTAAAGTCAGCATCTTTCTTAACGGGAGAAGTACTAGAGGCCTTTTCACTAAGGTCAGAAGCAAGGTAAGGATGCCCATTATAGCCAATATTTAATGTTGAGTTGGAGGTATTTAGCCAATTTGACAAGAGAAAGGAATTAGACGCATAAAAATCAGTAAAGAAGCAAAACTATTTCACTATTCAGATGACAGAATACCTGAGCTATCTAAATCACTTTATCATTTTATCTAAATGATAACACTAACAACAAAATTAATTTAGTGAGGTAGATAGATATAAAATACATACACAAAACAATAACCAGTTAAAAGATATAATGGAAGAAAAAACATTACTAATAGTAACAAACAAGGTAAAACACTCATGAATAAACTTAACGAGAAGTGTGAGGAAAACTTCAAAATGCTCCTGAAGGTTGTCCTGATAAATGAAAGACCAAGTAGTCTTGACCACATAGAAAGACATTGCTTGTTTTTGGGTAAGATGACTCGACTTCATAATCATGTCAATTATCCTGAAATTGTATACAAATTTAATATGATTCCAACAAAAGATACAAGCAATACACTGGGATAGCCAGGAAACCCCTAAAATAAAAAGCCATGGAAGGGTGACTTGCCCAACCAGATATTCAAACACAATGACACCAACGGAACAATGAGCACATCTAGTACCTGGATACCCGTTTCTGAAACCCACGCCCACTAAAAGGCACCAAGGTTTCTTGGAGAAATGGCTGACTGCAGGTCTGGGTCAAATTACAAGCGAGAGCAGCACCAACGCTCAAATGCTTATGGGAACACGTCAAAAGGATGCAGAGACCAACCCGAGACCCAGTCTGAGGCCCAGCCCGAGACCCAGCAGCATCTCCTCTGATCTCTGCAGACTCTGCGCTGGGCACAGCGAGGTCCGAGAGCTGCACAGGCGCACCAGGGAGCGGGGCAGTGCTGAGCCCAAACCAGGCTCCCTGTCCACCACAGCTGACAACTCGACCACCCAGAGGAGACCCTGCCCTCCTCATGTGCCTGGCCCTGCCAGGGTGGAGGCCTCCGTGTGGCTGCAGCCCTAGCGAGTGGACTCCACATCTGGCATCCACTGGGCTCCTCCTCAAAACTCTCTCTCCATCACCTCATCAGCACCTGGTCCAGGTGCCCGCAGCTCTGCCTGGCCAACTCCAGCGACCTCCTCTCTGATCCTCTCCTGCTCCCTGAGTCCTCTCCAGCTGCCTCGGGGGCATCCTTTCAACACGCAACTCTAAACCCTCCAGCGACTGCCCACTACACTCTGAAGAAAATCCAAACCCCAGAGCTCCCCTCACAGGCTCTGTTCCAGCTCCTCCTATCCACCCTCTGTGCCTGCCTAAGGGACCTGGCACCTGCTGCTCCCTCAGATCCTTCCTGTGGGCTCTGCTCTTCTGTTCACATCACAGCCACCTCACTGCAGGCGGCCAGGCTAAGGCTCTGCCCACCCCAGTCTCCCTCCGCCCCCATCACCCCGTTTTCTTTTCTCCTGAGCACTTACCCTCTGCCACACCCTGTTTCCCTCTGATTAGTCGTTCAGCTTCCCTCTCTGGCATCTGCTTGTAAGCACTTACTGGGGCAGGGAGCAGACAGTACACAGTAGGTGGGCAATTAATGCTCTAGGTGAGTGAGTGGACGCTTCCAGGACTCCCCTGGTCCCCTGGCACTGTGGCTGGAGTATGGCTTTTGGAGCCAGCCCCACCATGGTTGGAACTCCAGCTTTGCCACTTCGTGGTCCTGAGACCTTGAAGAAGTCCCGTCATCTCTCTAAGCCTCAGTTACTTCAACTGAAAGAGGGGGGCACGGCACCTGCCCGGCAGATAAATCTTCCCAGGGCCCTTGTCCGGCTCCTGAAGCTCAGCAGAACCTCTGCCTCAGGGCCCAGGAGGCAGGAGGGCGGGGGCTGGGCGAGCCCCTCACCACCGCAAGCTGCCAGGTCTGTCTGTCCCATACCGCCCCCCTCGCTGAGCGTGGGGCACGGTCAGACCATCCCCTCCTCCCCTCCAGGCCTCCCTTGCTCCACCTGAGCACAGAGCGGAGTGGACTAAGGGTCCCCTGACCCTGTCCGCTGTCACTGCGTGAGGGCCACGCCCAGGTCCCCGAGCTGACCCCACCGTCCCTGCAGGCTCTCTGATGGAAGCACTGATCCTGTCGTCCCTCCGATCCCAGCTTCAGAGCCCACAGCACCCTCTTCCCCACGGACAAGGCCCTTTCCCTTCTTCACAAGCACGGGGCAGGTCAGCCTTGCTGTTCCCGCTTCACAGACCGGGAAACTGAGGTGCAGCGCGGGCTGGAGGCCTCGGGTCCAGGCGGGCTTCTCCTGCCACCTGAGCGGCTGAAGAGGCTTGCTCCTGGCGCCGAGCGGAGCGGCGGGGGACGCGGGCACAGCGGGTCTCCCGCCACCGCGGCCGGCGGTGCCTCTCCGCGTGTCCCCTCCGCGCCCGCCCGGCGCACGCCCCGGACACCCCTGCCCGCCGCGCGCCCTGTCCCCGCACCTGCGCCCCGCGCGCCCCGGACATCTCCCGCCCGCCGCGCGCCGGATCCCCGCACCTGCGCCCCGCGCGCCCCAGACATCCCCCGCCCGCCGCGCGCCCTGTCCCCGCGCGTCCCCGCACCTGCGCCCCGCGCGCCCGCAGCCCCGCGCCCCACTCACCGGTCCCTGCGCGCCTGCACCCCGGCCGGCCCCCGGGCAGCGTCGCCGCCGCGCCCGCCGTGCTCTGGCCCGGCCCGGAGAGCGCGGCGCCCCCTCGCGGCCTCCCGGGGAGCGCGGCGGGCGGGGCGGCGGGGCCGCTGTCGTTCTCGGCTCCTCTCCAGGCCGTAGGGCCGCGGCCAGGCGGCCAGCTGTGCATTTAGGGCCCCCGCCGGCTGGCTCGCCTCCCGCCCCGTGGCGGGGACCCCCTCAAGTACCGCACGCTGCCCCTCTTCGCGCGGCTTCTGCCGGTCGCTGCGCCCGAACTGCCCGCCGACGCCCTCGCCTGATCAACCGCTGGCACCCAGGACTCCCTTTCCTCAAGGCTGGGCACTGGGCCCTCCTCTTGGGCTCTCCTCCGTCTGCGACGGCCACTGAGCTGCGGTTTGGCTGTGTCCCTGAGTCCTGTGGGCACAAGGTGGGCATCAAGGGGGCGAGGAAGACTGGACCCCCAGCGCCCTCTGCGGGCAGGGCCGGAGGGAGGGGAGGACACCGCTTGAAGACACTGGGGTGCTAGGAGTGTAAAGGTGTGCCATTTCACGTTTAGAATGGGGGAGGGGCCTGAACAGGATCCAGGGACCTTCCTCAACTGGCCCTACCTGGATATTAGAAGTTCCCGGTTTGTCCCGGCATAGAGGTCAGGACATCTGTCCTCTGCTTCAATCAGGATCTGCCCTATAAGATGTAACAGGAAACCAAATCCAACCAGTTTAAGCAACAGTAATTTATTGGCTCATGAAGTATTAAAAATGCCAAGATATGCTGCTTTCAGGAATAGCTAGATCCAGCTGCACAATATTAATAAGAATCCATCTCTCCCATCTACCAGACCCTCTGTGGCAGAATGGCCCCCAGCAGCCCTAGGTTGACAATCTCAAAAAGAGCACATCTGCCTGATAGTTCCAGCGGGAGCCCAGGGCTGCTGCACGCGGGCCATTTCTGCAGACCTGGTCAGTGAGAATTCCAGGCCTGGAGATGGGGAAGCTCTGAGCTTCTCCAGTGCAGCTGCTCCAAGCACGCGCTGAGGGCTGTTTCCAGAAGACTGGACAAGCAAGAACAACAGAGTCCAGCCGTGCTTGCACACTTTGGGAAACTGAGGCCTGGAGAGAGCAGGCACCTGCCTGGGGCACACAAGTGTACTAGGGCTGCTGTGGGCAGGGCAGAGCTAGACAGAGGCAGGGGGAGGTGCGGGGCGCGAGGTGGGCGTGGTCCTATCAGATAGACAGCCTGGGGGCGGGCACAGGCGCAGGCGCGGGCGCAGGCGCAGGGCCCTCGGGGCGGCTGGGGAGCAGGCGCAGAGCGCGCTCGGAGGGGCTGGCTTGGAGCTCTCTGAGCGAGGGCGGGGCCGCTGGGGCGAGGGGCCGCTCCGCCTGCGCCGCTCGGGTGCCTCTGCCCTGTGATGGGGGTCCGGCTGTGTCTCCTACCCTCTCCGGCGTCCTCTCCCACTGCACGGGAGCTCGGCTCTGTGCTGAGGCTGCGGTGTGGACTGCGGTCGCCACCCCGGCAGCTCCTGGAGGCCAGCGTGGGGGACACTGTCTGGGCTCTGGGAGAGGCCCGGCCACCCGACAGCATACTGCCCAGCTCGTCCCCTCTGTCTGCCCTGCCCCAGCCTACCTTCCCACTCCTGGGGGGCTAATCCCCAGAGTGTGGGCGTTGCGACGGAGGCTGTCAGCTCAGCCCCTTGCCCCCAACCCTCTGGTGGATGTTTCCTGAGGGCCTCTGGGTGCCTCACACCATGCTGGGTGCTGGGTTACAACAGCGAGCAGGACATGGGGTTCCCCACAGTTTAGAGAGGGGAGACTGAAAACAGAAGAATAATAGAAACGATCATTTGAGAGAGCAGTAAGTGCCAGGAAGTGACCAGTACAGGATAAGGTTCTTGAGCACGGCCAGGGCTTCCTTACATGGGAGGGTTCAGGAAAGGCCCCTCTGGGCATGTGGGGTTTGGGCTGAGACCTGAAGGAGGACCCAACTCCACAAGCTCTGTGGGAAGAGCCTTCTGGATGGAGGGCACAGCAGGAGCAAAGGCCCTGTGGCCAGCATGTGCTTCATGTCTTTGTGAGAAGGAAAGGAGGCCTGCCTGCCTGGAGAGGAGGAGGGGGCAGGGTCAGGTCAGTGCCTCCTGGGGGTGAGAGGCTGAGACTCTGTCCTCAGGGTGTGGCCCAGCAGGAGGTGATCCTACCGCCCACGGGTACTGGTCTTGGCACCCACGAGGCCTTTCCCAGCACTCCTGGTACCTGCCTTGGTTACCCACAGCCTAAATGGCACCTCCCACACACATATGACTCTGGGACCACGTGAGTTTGCCCCACCAGCCCAGCACTAGGATGGCAGGGTGGGGGGCCTTGTGCACTGAGGAGGCCACCCCTGGAGCGCTGCACTGAAGGTGGACATGGGGAGGGGGCAACGGGCAGGGAAGAGCTGACAAGTACAGACCCTGGGCAGGGGCAGGGGACTGGGGGCAGCCCGAGGGCTGTGGCTGGGGAGAAGCCACGGGACTGGGTGATGGGAAGACGAGGAGAATGTGTGAGAAGTCACAGAGGCAGCTAGGGTCTGGCCAGGTGGACGGCGGGTCTGCTGAGACTGTGGGGGCATGGGCACACTGGGGGACGTGTGGGCGCAGAGGTGGTGTGGGTCCTCGCTGGGGAGGGGAGGAGATGCTGGCGCCCAGCCGTGCAGACACTCAGTGCCCGGAGCCTGCGCAGCCCGGCAGCACGTCAGCCCCACATCTTGGCCCCACCGGAGCAGGAAGGAGCCTGACACCAAGTAGAGCTGCCAAGCAGTGTCACCAATAAGATCAGAGAACAGCAAGGACAGAACTTTGGGCTCTGGGCAGTGCATTTTATTAGTGCGCCCGTAACGCGTCATCCTGGGCTCTGGCGAGATCTCTCCATACTCCCTGCAAGGGCAGAGCTCCCAGAGAAGGTCATCACAGCCAGCGGGGGGTGCACGGTGGGCCAAGGGTTTGTGTTGCCCACATGCGCACTCTGAGATCATAAGCCCCAAGGTAACGGCAGTAGGAGGTGGGCCTTTGGGAGGTGATTAGGTTGTGAGGGCCAGAGAGCCAGAGAGCCCCCTGCCGCCTCTGCCATGTGAGCAGTACGCACGGAGGGGGTGGCTGTCTGCACCCTGGAAGAGAGCTCTCCTCAGAAGCTGATCGTGCTGGCACCTGGGTCTTGGGCTCCCAGCCCTCAGAACTGTGAAAGGGAAGTGTCTGCTGTTTCTAAGCCACCCAGCCTGCAGTCCTTTGTTATAGCGGTCTGCACGTGCTAGGACGGCACATGTAATTACTGCACACAGAGCAGGGCCCGACTCCCCCCAGTCTGGGTGGAGACCAGGGACAGAGAGAGACTCTGAGAGTGTGTGCACGGTGTGTGTATGTGGGTGCATGGTGTCCCATGGACGTGCATGGTGCACGTGTGTGGCACGCGTGTGTGCTGAACATAGGTGGGTTGCATTGCAGCACAGGGGGCAAAACTTGCCTGCCAAGCTCCCCTGCTTGGAAGACTCAGAGTCCCTGGGTCCCACATTCAGTCCATGTGGTCACCCACCCTCTACTCCCCCTCCCAGAGGCCCCTCACCTGCTGGTTCACTGGCCCCAAAGTGGAGCCCAAAGTGTCCCCAGGGAATGGACTGAGGTCCTGAGGTCCACCTGTAGGCTGGGAAACACCTCCTGAAAAAGGCTGCGATGTGATGGGCCCACTAGGTTCTTGGTGGGGGACTGACCCCTCCAGAGTGCCCTGCCCTGCCACACTGGAGGTCTCATTGATCCAGGCTATCAGATGCCGCTGAGCGTAGCAATCACCTGAACTCAAGGAAAGGCAACACCCCAAGTCTCCCATCAAGGCTCAGGTTTGGGGGTCTGGGTGGCCCCACACTCTGTAACGAGAGCCCCAGGTGATGCTGATGCAGGCAGAAGATGGGGCACACTTCAGGAAATGCTGATGGAAAGGGCTGTAGGGTGATCACCACCGTGTGTGGTGGGCAGAATAATGAGCCCCCCAAGAGGAACACACCCTAATTCTGGAACCTGCACACGGCATAGGGACTTTGCAGGTGTGACTTAGGACACTGAGATGGAGACATTTCCTGGACTATCAGGGTGAGCCCAGTGTAATCACATGGTGCTTAAAAGGGGAAGAGGGATGCAGAAGATGAGAAAGAGATGGAGGATGGAAGCAGGGTCAGAGAGAGGCTTGGCTGCTGGCTTTGAAGATTGAGGAAGGGGCCAGGAGCCAAAGAATGTGGGTGCCTCTGGAAGCCGGAAAAGGCAAGGAAACCAGTTCTTTCCTTGAAACCTCCAGGAGGAAGCGGCCCTGCCCACACCTTGCTTTAAGCCCAGGGAGACTGTGTGGGACTTCTGACCTACACAACTGTAAGACAGTCTGCTTGTGTTGTTTTGAGCCATTAAGTTTGTGGTAATTTGCGGCAGCAGCAATGGGAAACCACGACACTATTCCACAAGGGAGGCTCAGAGAGGGCAGGTGACTTGTGCAGGTGGCACAGCAGACTGGGGCCCAAACCCTCCATGTTTTCCTCTGGCTGCCCTGCATGGGGGTGGGGGTAGCATGGAGGCTGGCATCAGGCTGCTGCCCTGCACAGGGCCCACAACTGGGCAGACTGGACATGTGCTCAGCCTTCCCTGGGAGCTCGTTTACAACACAGATGCCCAAGACCCTGCTGAGACCTCAGACTCAAAGGGTCTTGGTGGGGCCTGGGAATTTGCATCTTGCATCGTCACCGCATTAACATGGTTTACTGACCTTCGATTGTTTAGAATCGACCAGCAGAAAAAGCACAGAAGGTGGTTTTAGGGTATCCAAATGTCCTAAGTGTGAAGCTGGCCACACTGATAATGTAAAAGGAAAGGTGTGTGTGAACAGGGTGGCAGCAGGAGCTCAAGTTTGAGAAACACCTGTGGGGTCAGCTGGGACCTATGGAGGCTGCCACGGAGGCAGTGACAAGGTCACAGGTGCATCCTAGGAGGCTCATGCCAGGGTAGGGTGAAGGCTGGGTGGTAGCTGGAC